TATATATATGTTAGGTATCAAGCCTTAGATGTTTTTGCATGTTAGGGTTTTATATATGATCAATTAATTGTGTATTATGTTCGTTTCTTTTGAAAGCATGTGAATTGTTAGAAAATCGTGATTAGGGCTGTGGAATATAGGAACATTTGAAGTTTTTGGCCTCATGGTGATGGCCTTAGACGTTTTTGTTGAGTAATTGGTCATTTATGTATTTTTGAATCGGGTATTGCTGCTGAAATTTTGAAAAATCACCATAAATCGTGTGTTCGTCCGATTGCTGCAAAAATTTGGACTGTATGACCGTCTGTTAGTATAATATGAGGTGTAAAAATTTTAGGTCGAAATAATACCTGTAGCTATGTCAAATGTTGATTTGAAATTCTGGGCAGAAACTTCGAAAATTCATTAAAAATCGGATTTTTGGTGTTTTGCTGTGATTTTTGGTGAGTGTTATTAATCTGATGTTATATGCTTGGTGTCCAAATTTTGTTCAAAAATTCCAAGGATTGCATGGAGAACTTGAAAATTCATATTTTCATCGCCTTTTTGTAAAAATTGATTGCCCAGGTTAAACTTAAGTCTTGAGTCTGAAACTTGGTGAAAGCGTGCCTTTCTGAGTGTATTTTTATGTGTAAAAATTTTAAGTAAATCGGTCAAGTGCATTTTAAAAACGGTCGGGTCCAATTGTTTCATTGCCTGTCTGCCTGACCTGTGCACCTGCTGCCAGCGCCCCAGCGCAGCGCCCGTGCGCTCCCCGGCTGCGCCCTGCCATGCCCCGCCCGGGCCAGCGAGCAGCTCGGGGCCTGTCTCGAGCCTTCTTTATCTTTTTCCCGAAATCTGGAGTGTGTCTTTGAACCGTTTGACCTTGATTTGCGTGCTAGGTTCATGTGTGGTGTTTAAATGCATTTTTTGGTCAAGTCCAAGTGTTAGGTCCGAATGTTCCAATGTTCACAGAACTTCACGAACTACTTGGTTGAATCAAGTTCGACCAATGCATGCTTGTGATTGTTCTCTAAGGTCAAATAGGTGTTGATCTTACTATATAATAGTTGTAGGTGTTTGACGAGCCGTGCTCGCTGCCTACTCCTGATTGTGTGCCATTTTCCTTTGCTATACCAGGTGGGTTTTAATCTAAATTTTGCTATGACGTATGTGTTTATTACAATGTTGATTTGGTATGATTTTAGTATGTAAGTAAACCATGTAGCCTATCGGCGTGAGCTGTTTCGGCCGTCGGTACGGTTGTCCCCGTCGATGTAATATGGTTACCTTGCGAGATAAGTCTCTGTAAGACCTAATGAAAGGCCGTGTCTTGTCGTATGGCACGTACCCCAATGAGTTAGGGTAGTGAATCCCCTTTCCTTGGCTAATGAAAGATGTGTACACGAGGGTATTATGTTGTGATGTGATTAGGAGACGTGACAGAATAATTGTTTTATGTTCATACTATAACCATACCTCCTCTACATTATTTATGTTGTGATATATGTGCATAGTGGTGAGCACGTATTTTCATCTTGTGCTCATCTCCACCTGCTCTTCACCGATGTACGTTAAGCAGGAGTAGGGTGACGAGAAGAGGCGAGTGGGTCGGTCATTTCATTATGCATTTTATGCTTTCGTAGAATAATATGGCTTTTATGGACCGCTATGTGAAGACTTGTTTAAACCTTTTTTTCAAAACTTATGACTTGTTTGTTTTTGGGAAACTTGTGGAACCCTTGATGTTGGGTATGATGTTTTGGTTTAAATATTCGTGTTGAGAATTAAGTCTCGTGATGTGTTTTGGTTAATGGAAACCATTTGCGAAAACCAGGTAATGAATCCCAGTGGGCCCAGATAAGACTTTGGTTATGAAAAATATTGTTTAACACCCATTAAATTTCGAAAATGATCTCGAAAATTTTGTACTGATTTTTGGAAAGTCTGGAATTTCTGTAAAATCAAAGTGGGGTGTTACAGTTTGGTATCAGAGCCAGTCTGCGCTTCTGTAGACTGGTTTATATGTGAGTATGTGTTTAGACCCTGTAATATGATTACTCGTCTCCGTCACTCTGCACTGCTTAAGGTATGTTTTGTTTAAGTATTAATGAAAATACTTGATACGTAAATGATGCATATGTGGCAATGAAACTACTTGTGATGAACTTGTGATTTGGGACTTAAGATATATCCACCTTGATTTTATCGAACTCTGGTGTCTTTTGGCGAACTCTAGACTTCTGAATTGTGATTATTTTGTTTGTTTTTTTGCTAAACCTTGTTCGGCTTATTCAATGTAGAAGTATGAATACCCGCAACAACCGTAACCGTCAGCCATCCCCGCAACCGTCTCCGCCTCGTCATCACCAGGCCCCTCCGGCCATGGACCTTACTCAGCTTATAGTCTAGTTTCAGAGGATGAATGCACCAACCTTTGCGGGGACTGAGAACCCCACAGCGGTGCTGGAGTGGATCAAAGAATTGGACAAGATCTTCGTTGTGCTACCCCTCCCTGACCGTCAGCGGGTATCCCTCGTAGCTTATCAGATGAAGGAGGACGCTTTCGACTGGTGGATTGACCACTGGGCTCGGAGACCAGAGGCGAAGCTTCATGCACTCACTTGGGAGCAAATGAAGATGATGGCGCGTGGCAAGTTCCTACCCCAGAGCTTTTGGGACAGGATAGAGCATGAGTTCTACCATTTGCACCAGGGAAGCTCCACGGTGGATGAGTATATCCGCACTTTCACCCGTATGTGCCTTTTTGCGGGCGACGCAGTGAACACCGATGCCAAGAAGGCCCGCAAGTTTTTCAAGGGGCTCAATTAGAGGATCCATGAACTGGTGGGAAGTCACGGACTGATGTCTTATGCAGATACCGTGAGTTGGGCTCAGGAGGTCGAGAGCTGTCTCATTTCGTTAGCTCCAGTTCCTTCTTATTATTATGCCTCCCAGCCCCCTCAGACCGTTGTCCAGCATGCTCAGCCCATCTCGTCTGTGCCGTCAGGCTCTAGTTCGGGCAAGAAGAAGTTCGACTTCCAGAACAAGAAGAAGGGTAAGAAGGAAAATTTTGATAGGCGTGACAACCGATCCTCCACTGGCCAAGCCTGCCCAAAATGCGGTAGATCCCACAGCGGTGAGTGCCTAGCTAACCAGCGCACGTGTTTGAACTGCAAGCGTCTGGGACACTATGCCAATGTTTGCCGCGAGCCGAAGAGACAGCAACAGCAACAGCCGCCCTACCCGCAGCAGCAGCAGCTTCCCCCACCGCCACCTCATCAGCAGCAGCAGCCCCTACCGTTCCAGCAGAAGGTTGAGGGTCAGGCCCATGCCTATACCATTACCCACGATGAGGCCGCCCGCAATACAGGTACTATGTCCGGAATGCTTTCTATCTCCAACGTGACTGTCTTTGCATCATGTGATACCGGTGCTACCTATTCCTTTAGTTCTTCTCATTGCTTGGAGGCCTTATCTATTAGCACCGTGCATGCTTGTGATCCTCTCGAGGTAGTTTAGCCTTGGGAAAAATTATTATCTCTGATTCAGTGATTCGCAATCTTCCTATTTGTGTTGGTGGTCGAGTTCTGGAGGCCGACGTCTATGTAATTGAAATGCGAGACTTTGACGTGATCTTGGGCATGGACTGGCTCACACGTTACCGAGCCGATATCTGGTGCCAGGAGCGCGAAGTCAATCTCTATCCCGTTTTCGATCAGCTTGTTGTGTTTTATGGGGTGAATTCGAGGACTGTACCTCGAGTCATCTCTTCTATGCAAGCTAAAAAGAGCCTTTCCAAGGGTAGTTGTCAAGGCTATCTCGTTTTCTTGGTATCCGACGTTGTTGATGAGCGGGTGCCCGAGAGATTATCCATCATTTGCAAGTACCTCGACGTTTTTCCTGATGATTTGCCCGGAGGACCGCCGGACCGACAAGTGGAGTTCACCATTGACCTAATTCCAGGAGTCGGCCCCGTTTCTAAGGCCCCTTATCGTATGGCGCCGAAGGAGCTTAAAGAGCTCAAGGCCCAGATCCAGGAGTTGCTCAAGCTCAGTTTTATTCGTCCGAGTGTCTCGCCGTGGGGTGCGCCCGTCCTATTCGTGAAGAAGAAAGACGGATCTATGCGCATGTGCATTGACTATCGGGAGTTTAATGTCCTTACAGTCAAGAACAAGTACCCCCTTCCCTGTATTGAGGACCTTTTCGACCAGCTGAGGGGAGCCAGCGTCTTCTCAAAGATTGATTTACGTTCTGGCTATCATCAGCTGAAGATCCAGTAGTCGGATATTTCCAAGACTGCTTTCCATACCCGCTATGGCCACTATGAGTTCGTCGTCATGCCGTTCGGACTCAGCAATGCCCCGGCCATCTTCATGGACCTTATGAATAGGGTCTTTCATCCTTTCCTGGAATAGTTCATCATTGTGTTCATCGATGACATTCTGGTCTATTCCCGAGATATCGATCAGCACAAG